CAAATTTTCTTCTCAATTAGGTGTGATTTTTATTATTTTTTTTTCCCATCCAATTACTTTAGAAAAAAAATTAGGCCACTTAAAATGTTTCAGTCATTGGATTGGGTGAATTTGAAAAAAAATTATAGGTGAGAAAATGAGTGTGGAAAAGCAAGGAAAAGAGGTAGGCGGATGACCATGGGAAAAATTGTATGTTCATTTAAATTTTCAGTGAATTAGCTTTCTTGATTTCAAGATTTCAAGTGTTTAAGACTACAATCTAAATGAGCTTTTCCTCCCGTGTGATTGTGAATCATAAAATTTGCAAAAGAGAAAAAAAAAGAAGAAGAAGAATCGGGTTTAAACGATGGAGTGAAAAACGATTGGAAATGTGAAATTTAAGTGGAGAAAAAGGCGATTATAGTAATCACAGTGTTGAACAATTTGGGATTTTTTGTCAAAGAACAAAAATTTGTAGGGAATTTTGATTGGATAAGAAGATTTTCTGAGAAAAATGGCTTAAGAATTGAACTCTAGCCCAAAGAGGAGCCATTGCATTGGCTTTGCAGGGCCATTGAAACGATGATGTCGGATGGAAGGTGTGTAGCTGATAATTTCTTGAGAAACATTGACATATTGGCTATTTAAGATTAGATTTGCTGCAGTTTATTGAATATTCTAGATAAAATGTAATACTTTTGCTAATTTGTCCATTTTGCCAAATGTTATACACACCTGCGTCACACGCAGAAAGCGATTACAGGTCTTCGAAACGCGTTGCCTTCGTTCGAAACGAAACTAAAAAAAGATAAAATTGCTTAAAAGAAAGTTGAAAATGATTGAAAAACTTAAAAGTATTTAGTTTTTTATTTATTTTAGGTAAAGAAACAGTTTGCCAGATGGAGTATGTTTGCGATGTCGTAAAACGAGAAGCGAAAGTCGTATCAATTCGAGAAGTCGCTCGTTGTTGATAGAAATCATTTTCACGGCTTTTTTCAATGTTTCGAATTTACGTTTACGTTACAAATTTGTCAGAGGTTCCTATTTAGTTCCTTGAAAGCTCCTTTATAGTTCCTTTATAGTTCCTTTATAGTTTCTTTATAGTTCCTTTAAAGTTCTGGTATAGCTCCTTCATGGTTCCTATTTATTTCCAGTTTATTCCAAAGAAAGTCTTGAGTTTTACTCAAAACTTTCTTTGGAATAAACTTTTGACAAAAAAGAGAATATCAAAGAGATGAATATCAAAAAATTCATCAAAATCTCACATTTTTTTTTTATCATTTGAGTCAAATTGATCATTTAGACTCATTTAGACTCAAACATTGCTACTATTGGGTTGGGGACTATGACTCGGCGCCGAAAATCAAAAAAATGTCTAAAACTTCTATTCGACTTCGTCAAATAATATGCGTTTGATATCAGTAGAATGGTTAACTAATTCTCTACAATTGACTTTAAAAGAAAAAAAAATTTAAAAAAAAAAAGGGGGGAATAAAAATTTTAAAAAAAAGGGGGGTTTGAGAAAAAAAAAAGGGGGGGGGGGTTTTTTGGTTTGGGGGGGGGGGGGGAAAAAAAAAAAGAGGGGAGGGGGGGAGTTCCAAAGAGAGGGTTTATGGTGGGGAGTTGTCGTCCCAATAGATCAAGAAAAAAATATATTTTATTCACCATTCTAGATCTCGGTGATCACTTTTTTTTTCAACGAAACTTCAACTCTGAGATTTTGACTCAAATGTTTTATTTACGAATAGGTTTTTTTGGGGATGAAAGTGAGTGATCTTTTCTCAGAAAAATATCGAGAATCATCACCCAAAAATGGAAATCTCAATTGAAAGAAGGGTTCTCTTTCTTTTCTTCCTTGTTTTCCCCTTTTTTCCCCTTTTTTTCCCTTCAAGCATTGACTTCTTCTCATCGTAAATAATCTCTTTTTTTCTGTAAAGCTTTCTTCCCTTTAGTGCTTGAGAGTAGATCTATTCTTAGTCTAAAGTCGAATCTTCGGAAGAACAACAATGATGTCAATGAAAATTGAGAAGAAAAGTGGGAAAAAATATGAGAAGCCTTTGATGGATTAGTCTTTTTCTTTGGTTATGGTCAAGAAATAACAGAAAAGTTCCTCTTTGGACTCATTTTTGGATATCAATCATTAAAAAAAGGGATTCATTTGCAAGAAAGTAAGGAAAAAACATCTATTCTTGGATAGAATTTTTCCTCATTCTAATAAAAGTAACGGGAAGAGATTGCAAGATTAGAAGAATCTCATAAAGAAATGAGATTCATTTTGTGATCTTTGAACATGAAAAATAAGTTTTCACATTTACAAGGTAGACATAAACAAAGAGAAATACTGATGATTGCTTTGTGCTCTTTGATCTGTGCTTACATTTTGGTATATGAGATGTGGGAAAAAAGCTTGAAGTCTCTGTTGAAGTCTCTGTTGAAAAGTACCTTGAAAATTATCACTTGAAATATTGAAAAGAATTGTGCAAATGTAAACTTTCTGGAACATTCGATTCTTGTGGTTGAAGGAAGGATCTGAATTTGGAGTTTCGCTCTTGTCCATCCGAAAATGCCCAAAAAATTAGCCAAATTTAAGGCAAAAATTGATCCCAAAAATTTGGGCATATTGACACCCAAGAAATGAGAAAACGAAAGTCTTGAAAATAGCGCTTGCTTGCTATCTTCGAAAGTCTTGCTGGATCTTGAAAATAGTTTCTAATCATTTTACAAAACAACAAAAAAAAAGGTTTGTCCGTGAGCGGTATCGAATCATGAAGGAAAAATGTATAGGATGCCAACACTAGCCGCCACTCGGCTACAAGGCACTTTTTTTTTTTGAGAGAGCGTAATCGCGCATTAGAAATTGAACGCAAATGGTGTGCCGGAAATTCGAAAAAACCATTCAAATATCATAAACTTTGGGAGAATTTTTCTCGAAAATTTTGTCTATCTGGTAAACCGGAGACCTACTTTTTCGAATTCAGGAAATGTTTTTCAAATAAAATGGAGACGGTGGTCAATCTGTGTGCATGCCGAAAAGGATCTGAAAAAAAGAAAAACTGTCGTGCTGTTTGATAAAAGGACCAAATAATATGTGCTATTTTTTATTGAATTATCTAATTAATTAAATTTCATTTTAATATTCTTAGTCTAAAGTCGAATCTTCGGAAGAACAACAATGATTTCAATGAAAATTGAGAAGAAAAGTGGGAAAAAAAATATGAGAAGCCTTTAATTTGAACTGTTTGTTTTGTTAATTTCATTACTCTTTTTTCTCTTCATTACTCTAGTCAATATTACGATACAGGGTCCGAGAAAAGTACCCTAAAGTCGCGAGTATAAGTTCTGTTTGGTTTTCGCATGCAAATTGACGGCTGTCTCCGGTGCGGTGTGTCGAGGTTTCGAACCCCGCTGCAGCATAACTTTTTTGCTTTTTAAGAACAATAATAGAAGTAAATTTATTGAGGGTTATAGCAATTTTATGCTGTTATTTGTTGCTGTTATTTGTTGCTCCGGGCGTGGCTCGGCGCGTCCGCCCTGCTCCTCTCCAGTGCTCAGTCTTATGGATCCCTCCCTGGCCTCTACATCCGGCCAAAGTCCACGTCGACGGTCGAAAGAGATGCTTTCCAGCTTCAACACTATCGTCTGGATGTATCCATGCACATAACAAATAGCAATGGTGATAGGTTGTCACTCTGTAGTATCCCGCGCTCCAAGAACAATAATATAAAAGTTTATATAACAATAAAAATGTATAAAAACCCAACAAAAAGAAATTCAAAGCAATTAAAGCGAATGTAAATTAAGGCAGAACTTATACTCGGATGAACTTATACTCGAGACTTTAGGGTATTGTCGTTTTTCCAACCATCATATCTTTTTTCAAAATTGAGCTTTTAACATATTTATTGAAAAAAATAACAGATAAATAACCAAAAATTCAAATTTATAACAAGTGTTCGAAATTGGACCCCTTGGTTTTGATACAGGCTTCCAAGAGACGCGACAATACGCGACAATACTTTTCTCGGACCCTGTAGTTTCCTGAAAGTTGGGAACGTTTTAGAAAATAGACACTTTGGCGATTATCAACTTTGATCACTTACTTATTGATCAAATCATTCTTGAGAAAAAATCGTCTGCTTGATGAAATCACTTCATCTCATCTTATGTCTCACCTCCATTTTGTGGCTATCATCTCATTAAAAATGCTTTCTTTTTAATGATCTCATCCGATTGGCTCCGATTTTGTGTGAATTGGAATGGAAAAGCAGGAAAAAAAAGGTCTGAAGAAGAAGAAAATGGAGGAGAAATGGATGAAAGGACGTGGAGGACATCTAAGTGGAACCGTCACCCGTTTCTTCGTCTTCTTCTCCCAATTCCCTTTCCTTTCCACATCGAATTTCCCCCCTTCACTCATCACTTTTTATCCACACATTTCCTCCAGGCAAAACATGGATCGGAAAGAAGGAAAAGACAAAAGTGAAGCAAAAGATGTGTCTGTTCTGTCTGTTTCACATCTCGAGACACACCAATACCTTTCTCTAATTCCATTTGAGCTTTTTTTTATTCCCTTTTCTCCATTGCCATTGATTTATGCTTATTATAAATGCTTTATCGCTGAGATTTTATCAATGAATCGTTCATTTCGTTTCAAATGATCTACTTCTATCAGTTGATTTTTCCTATTCAATTCAGTAATTTGAGTTTTCTTTCTTTTCTTTCTTTTTTCTTTTCTTTCTTTTTTCTTTACTTTCTTTTTTTTCTTTTCTTTCTTTTCTTTCTTTTCTTTGTTTTCTTTCTTTACGTTCTTTACTTTCTTTACTTTCTTTTCTTTATTCTTCCAGATTTTATCTACTTAATTTCTTGGCTTCCGTATGCAATAAAAGTTGTAGAAATGTATTTTCAGATTGATGCTTAAAGCAATGCTTCTTGTTATTTCTTTTTTTTTCTTTATCGATCTTATTTCTGGAGTTGATCAAAATTTACGAGAGTTTCACGGTTTTCCATGTCGATTTGGAAATTCGATGAGGTTTGTGATTGAGGTTTCCAAAAAGACTTTCTCGACTACCGTAATCTTGTCTTTAATTCTATTTTATCTATTCATAAAGGATATCAAATGATAATAAAATTAGATAGAATAGATAAAACTAAAGAACTAGATTACTATAACTTTCAAAAAAATTAACATTTTCTAGAAAACTGAAATCAAAATTTCTTTTTCTTTCAGATTGTCCCGTACTCTTCACGGATTGCCAAAAAAGACAAAATCTCCATTTACATTGAATGTTATCGATAAAAACGGAAGTCCCGTTGAATATTATGAAGTTGGGGAGAAATATTTGGGTGATTTTGAGTTCGAATGAAATTGAGCTATTTTTTTTGTTTGTTTAGTTCGTGTCACAGGTTTCGTCCATTGGAGGGGTCTCATTTTTCAGCCACGACTTGCTCATTCTACTGGTTTACATTTACACATTTAACATTGAATTTTATATATCTAATATTCTTAAATTTCCCTTTTTAAAGAATAAAGACACTATAAATAAAGAAATTCCGGGGGAATTTTGTAGGAAATCTAATCGGATCACTTCGTGGAGGACATTTTGAGCCGACTCGAGATTGGGACGAATTTGGTGAGGTTAAAAACAAAAAAATGCTTTTGTAAACGTTTGTAAACGTCTTTTTAGCTTTTCTTAGTTTTTAAAATAGAATATACATACCGTAAATACTGTAATAGTACCCCACCCTCCTCGTACAGTCGCGTAGTCGCAAGTTTTTTAGTTTTTCTTTTTTTTAAAGCACCCGTACTTTCAAAAAATGCGTTTTTGGTATCAAAAAATAGCTGAAATTCAGGGCTATTTTTTGATACCTAAGCGCGCATTGTAGCATAAACTAGTGCCGAGAAAAACTCGTTCAAAGCTAGACTACGCAACACTCCGCACCGCCATTATGGGGGTGGGGTACTATTACAGTATATAAGGTCACTAAATTTGGACTTTAATTTTTCAAATTTTCGGTCTTCGAATGCAAGAATGTAAATTCACGCAAAATGATTCGATCACTCATTCAAATGATGAAAAGAAATTCATTCTTGAAGTCTTTTGGGTAGCCGATCGAGATGTGGGACCCGTGCAATTCATGTTTGTTTTTTTTTTTGGGAAATTCAAATTTGATCTTTTTTTAGGTTAACCCTCGCCTCGGAGAATGATATGTGAGAGATTTTTTGATGCCTTAAACATTTCCACTTCAAATATTGATCTTTCAAAGAATTAAAAAAGAGATTCTTAAGGTATTGGGAAAGATGGAGACCAAGAAATGGATTCATTTTGCCGATTCAAGAAAGGGAAAACGTAAAGAAAGAAATCGATGAACGACTCTTCAACGATCAAAATGCGGAACAAGAAACAGATGATTGTTAGTGCCAAAAAAAATTTCACATAACGCAATTGTGATCATTTTCAGTGAAATCGCTTGATGCTCCTCAATTTCCACCGATTTTAAGTGAACAAATGAACGCGAGAATTGAAAGGAATTCGAGTGATTTTCAAGAAGAAATCAGAAAATGGGATCTCGGATCGATTGATGAGAATGGAAATCAAAATCAAAATCAAAGTGAGTATTTTTTTTTATTTCATCAAATCGAGATTTCTTAATGCATATTCTCTTTAAAAATTTCCAGAATTCGATGCTTTTTCATCAAAAGTTGCAAATCGTGAAGAGGATGATCAGAAGTTGCATCGAGTCACCGCACCGGCATGGTTTCAATTGAAATCAGGTAAAAAAAAGTAGAAGAATATTTTTAAAAAATAGAAATCACAGGTACACCATTGACTGATTCATATTTGACGACGACAACATTGAAAAATCGACGAAGAAAACTGTACAGAACAAGAGCTCCTTTCACATTTCCTCCAACTTCAACAATCTCTTCTGTTTTAACTTCAACGAAAGAAACACTCAGAAAGCGAAAATTCCCTTCACAATTACAAGTACCGTATTTTCTCTAATAGTAGTGCACCCTGAGCGTCGCCTGCTCGAAATTGCTCGAAATCTCGAGAACCGCTTATCAGAACCTATCGATGTGGGGTCGGAAAATGTAGCTGGCGATGAGATCTAGTGGGGGACTAGAGTGCTGAGCATCTGCAAAAGCTTGGAAACCGTCAAATAGACACCAAAGAGGCAAATATTTCGACTCCGTTTGACTCGGAAAACTCGTTGGGAGAGATTCGAAAGAGTCAGTTAAGCGGTCAGTCGATCAAATATTGGGTTGGTGAATTGAAAACTGCGGGACTTTGAACTAAAATTTATTCAACATAAAACCATAAATTCATTCGAAATAATTTCCATTATTATTGGCGACTTCTGCCCATTTTACAAGCAATTTGCGGACTCCTCTTTCGTAGTAGGATTTTGGTTTGTGTGTGAGACAAGTGTGAGACTCAAAAATCGAGGACTGAAGATGTCCCAGTTTGAGCACTTTCTTCAAAAGAAACCCATTTCGGTGTCAATAGAAAAGTTGTAGAGAATCAAAAATTAGGCTTATAGCCAAATTTCCAAAAAGATACACTTAGTAGTTTCGCTTAAAATGCAAGTTTTGTGAAAATTCGTGAATTTGGCATTTCTTGACAACCAATTTTTGAATCGTTCTGAAAATTTGGATATAAGCTTCATTTTTGATTCTCTACAACTTTTCCATTGACACCAAAATGGGTTTCTTTTGAAGAAAGTGCTCAAACTGTGACATAGGACAATAGCCGGCGGTTTTCAATTCACCAACCCAATAGTTGGGGATTTGAGTGTTGAGTTTCTGCAAAAGCTTGGAAACTGTCAAATAGTCACCAAATCGGCTCGCCGGGGTGCACTACTATTAGAGAAAATCCGGTATTTCTTTACTTCTTTAAAAATATAATTTCTTTAAATTTCATTTTATTTTAGTTAGAAGATGGAGATCTTCGATTTTTATCATCAAATGTTCATGCAAGAAAATTGGTTTTTGCTCGATCTAAAAGAGAAATAACAAAAAATGACACCGATTACCTATCGCTTTTTGGTAATTTACGTTTATACTTAATAAGAAAGGATACATTTATTTAAGATGAATAATTTGAAAAAAACAAACAAACAAACAAAACAAACAAACATACAGAACACTCAACACACAACCCAAGAAGAGAAAACCCCAAGATCCATGTATATGGGAAAAAAGTGAAGATTTTCTAGAGGCTGGCATCGAATCCGTGACCATTCAACTAGCATACAAGGCTCCTAATTATTTAAATCATAAAATTAAAAATCAAATTTCAGATTGTAAACAAGTTGGCTGTGAAAACGGTGGAAATTGCATTGAATATGTGAATTTTGGTCGATGCAATTGCACAATCGGCTTCACTGGAGATCGGTGTCAAGGTAAGGGAAAACAATGATGTAAAAATATCATTTTGATCAATAATCAATAATCTTTTAAAACTTATAGATAGTCTTTCTTTCTTTCTTATTTCAGAGATCGATTATTGTTCATCTGAGCCATGTCAAAATGGAGTCTGTTTGAATGATCCGAATCGTAAAACATTTCTCTGTAAATGCGATGATAATTTTGTTGGAACAAAATGTGAAAGTAAGAAAGAAAGAATTTTAAAATAATCATAATTTAGCTAAATGTCCGGAGAATTTTTGTAAACAAGGCGGTAAATGTTTGGAATCATCGAGCGGGAAATTGAGATGTGAATGTCCAAAAGGAATCATTGGAGAGAATTGTGAAAGAGGTAACAAAAGTTTATGGTATGTTTAAAGAAAAGGATAAAAAGAGGGAATTGTAGAGATAAATGAATGCAATTGGTTGCGATGTGTTCATTCGAAGGAATGTATTGACATGCTTGATGATTATAAATGTAAGAGAGGAAAAAGGAAAAGCTAAAGAAAAGTGACTTGTTTTAGGTGTTTGCAATGATGGATGGATGGGTAAAAATTGTGATCGTGAGTTGGTTATTATCATAGAAAAAGACACAGAGATAATATTTATGAAATTGTGTTGACCTTTCTTTTTCCCCACATCAAATATATCTAAGCTGCCAACTTCAACTGGCAAAACTCTCAAATTTCTTATTTTTATATTACTTGAGTGCTTCAGAAAGTGTGTGTTTACACAATTCTTATAGAGAAAATGGTTTGCTTAATTCTTAGGGCCATGTCAAGACGTTTATGGAACTTGTCGAATTTGGGAAAGAGATGGAGAATGTCAAAGAATTGCTGAAACTGGTCAGTTGAGTTGTTTATCAAGATTAATTTGAATATTCGAAAGATATTCGAAAGATATTCTAAAGATATTCTAAAGATATAAAGATTTCCCCTTTACATTTTTCTAATCTTTATACTAAAGCATCGATCGTAAAACTAATCCAAAAATCTTTTTTCCCTAGATTTCTTCGAGTATAATTGTGCGGTCACTTGCAAGCAATGTGTCTACAAAAATGAGACAAGTGAGATAAGAAAATATAGAAAATGATGATGATGATGATGTTAAAAGATATTCAGTTAAAACCGATCGCCCTATTCCGCATATTTTGTTGCCATTGACGTGGTTGTTGGGGAAATGGCATGTTCGAGTTAAAGGTTTATTAAGAAAAATCGATAATTGTGAATTCTAATTTTAGAACTCACAATCAATAATTGTTGGTTCTAAGTTCTAATTAAGAAATCGATAATTGTGAGTTCTAAGTTTAAACTTTTAGGCAAAAGCGATCTGCCGTTTGATTTCAAAGAAACCGGATACGAGGAAACGGTGACATTTTCCGTTTCGGAAGGACTCGTCTTTGGTACTCCAGCTATCAATTACACGTAAATAACTTTAATAAAAACATTTCTTCCAAAAAAGAAGTTACAAAATTACCAAATCATCGGGTTCATTGCCCGATTTGTTCCGATCCGATTCAATCCTCGGAATTGAATTCAGGAAATCGGCTATCAATTTTGCATAAATAATTAACATTTCCAGGTCTGCTTTTAGAAAAAAAAAAATTGAAAATTGCTGTTGAAATTTAGAAAAAATCAGGATTACGACCTGAGCTTGGCTTGGTTTTCAGGCTTGAGCTTGGTTTGGCCTAGCTAAACAAAGCTTTTGGCTTCTAAAAACAGTCTTGTACATTTTCATAGACATCAATTTATCATTTTTCTTGTAGAAGTGTGGCTGTAAGCCTTGTCGACCCATTGGATCAACATATCTCAAATGGATTTCTCACAATTCAACAATATCCCGATGATCTTATTGTGAGGAAAGCCGCTCTCTTGACAACGACAAATTTGGGTGAAGTAAATAGATTGAAATGAAATGTGTTTCTCTTTCAGGATATCATTCAATTGAAGAAGGGATCCTTGAAAATGATGAGAACAATCCCGATTTTCATCGAATTCAATTCAGAGTTTGTAAATATTAAACGAAAAAAAGGGTATCGAAATTTTTCACAGGCTCGCTACTTAGGATTGTATCCAGAAATTGAGGAAAAATGGCCAGACAAGGTTTCTTTTCAGAAAACTTTTTCCTAAATCTTTGTTTTATATATATATATATATTCAGATGAAGCGAACTTTTGAGAGAAAAGGCAAAAAATTATATCAACGAATCGCGAAAGTTCGCGGATCGAAGGGGAAAAAATTCACAAAGATTTACACAAAAATTGAAGAGTTTCTTTTTTGAAAAGATTTATGCTTGCTCAACGATACGCTCGGGTTATTAATAAAGCAAATGAATTTATTTACAGAAATATTGCATTCAAATCGGGTATTTACAAGGAGATGATTTTTAAAATCAAATATATGTACAGTGATGGTTGGGTGTGATAGGATTGGATGATTGGATGATGGATTGCATGTGCATGAGGGGATTGATAAGTTTGGAAATCGAATAGATATGTCAAAAAAAAGACGCAAAGATGTTAATTTGAGAATAGCATAAGTGAAGAAAGAGGAGATGAAGAAGTGGGAATACTTAAAAGGCAAGATGGAGGAGCAGGCACTGAGACACCATTTTGGAGGATGAATTCGGTTTGAGGCAAGAGCTGAGAGACCTGAATTAAGGGAAATTCTTCTTTTTGTGCTCAAGTTGTAGTATGAAAATTTGTTTAGAATATAGCTTAGCAATAGTTTTAATGAATATCATGAATTTTCGATCTTTTTTGCTCCACCCTAGTTTCTAGGGGATGCGAGTTTTTCTAGGAGTACATATCTAGGAGTACACATCTAGGAGTACACATCTAGGAGTACACATTTCTGGGGACACATCTAGGGCCATCTAGGAGTACACATTTCTAGGAGTACACATTTCTAGGAGTACACATTTCTAGGAGTACACATTTCTAGGAGTACACATTTCTAGGAGTACACATTTCTAGGAGTACACATTTCTAGGAGTACACATTTCTAGGAGTACACATTTCTAGGAGTACACATTTCTAGGAGTACACATTTCTAGGAGTACACATTTCTAGGAGTACACATTTCTAGGAGTACATATCTAGGAGTACACATCTAGGAGTACACATTTCTAGGAGTACACATTTCTAGGAGTACACATTTCTAGGAGTACACATTTCTAGGAGTACACATTTCTAGGAGTACACATTTCTAGGAGTACACATTTCTAGGAGTACACATTTCTAGGAGAACGTTAAAGTCATTAATACATAAAAAGCTTTTGATAAGTCACTTTTCGATCGTTTTTTCTACTTTGAATCTACAAGAATTCGACTTGAATTTCTAATTTTCTTTGCGCTGTTTTTTGTTTTCTTCTTAATATTGTTTGTTTTCCCTTAACAAACTGACTTGAGCCCATCCATCAGGTCGAAAAGATGCATAATCGGGAGCACGGAAACATCCACGAGTACACAATGAAACGCGACGAGGGAAAGAAATTGGGGCAACAACGCGAAGATGATCAAGATCTAAAGAGGAAATTTCATATTTCAAATTGTTAGTTTTATGTTGGTGCACAAGTCTTTACAATTTTTTTTTCAAATTTTTATTTCCATAGAAAAGAAACCTTTAACAAATTTGTTAACAAACAAACCTTTAACAAAAAGTTTTAAACGATTAAAAAGGCTTATAATTTCTCTACAAAATAACTTTTGAAAGAAAGCTCAAAGCTCGTCTCAACTCGATAAAAACGCATTTTTGTGTAAAATTTTCAATAGTTGTTTTTTTGTTTCCATGGAAAAGAATCCTTTACCAAACTCCTAAACTATTTAAAAAGTCTATCATTTCTCTACAAAATCTCTTTTGAGAAAAAGCTCAAAGATTGTCTCAACTCGGTAAAAACGCATTTTTATGTAAAATTTTCAAATGTTATTTTAAAGAAAATGGTTGGTCGGATCGTTTTCAAATTTTACAGACTTATGTAATCAAATAAGCTCTATCTTTTTTACTTTAGCATCAAAATAGGTTTGTATTGAAGAAAGTGTTCAAATTGCGCCTTCGACATCGGACAGTTTTGGGTGCTCGCCTTTACGCCTTTGAAAATCCACAAAAGCAACTACTTA